AGAACTTGTACGCAGACCAAGAGGCATTTGTTCAAACAGAACAAAGAAACACTGAATGGTTAAAAATTAGGAAAGGTGTGCCCCAGAGCTGTATTCTTTCACAATACTTATTCAATCTGTATGTTGAGCAAATAATCCGAGAAGCTGTGTTATATGAAGTCTTCCTTCCACCCTGATGGATATGCAGATGATACAGTCTTACTTACTAAAAGTGAAGAGGACTTCAAATATTTACTGATAAAGATCAAAGTCCATAGCCTTCAGTATGGGTTGCACCTCAATGTAAAGAAACACAAACCTTCACCACTGGACCAATAAATAACATTAAGATGAATGGAGAAAAGATTGAAGTTGTCAAATATTTCATTTTGCTCTGATCAACCATCAACATTCACGGAACGCAGCATTCAAGAAATCAAACAATGTATACGCAAATCTGCTGCAAAGGACTTCTTTAAAGTGCTGAAGAGCAAAGATGTCAGTTTGAGGAATACGGTGCATCTGACCCAAGCCATGGTATTTTCAATAACCTCATTTGCATGCAAAAGCAGGACAGTGAATAAGGAAGATTGTAGAAGAATTGATGCATTTGAGTTATGGTGTTGGAGGAGAATATCAAAAGGACCATGGACTACCAAAAGAACAAACAAATTTGTATTGTAAAAAGTGCAGCCAGAATGCTCCTTGAAAGCCAGGAAGGCCAGACTTTGGCTTCATACTTTGGACATATAATTAGGAGGGACCAGTCCCTGGAGAAGGACAACATGATTGGTAAAGCGGAGGGTCAGAAAGGAAGACTCCCACTGAGATGGATTGGCATAGCGATAGCAGCAATGAGCTTAAACATAGTATTGATAATGAGATTGGTGCAGGACCGGGCAGTGTTCCCATCTGTTGTGCACAGGGTCACTATGAGTTGGTACTGACTCAGTGGCACCTAACAACAACAACAGCAACAACGCAGATGGGAAGAGGAGAGGAGAAAACACCAACTAGAGATTTGGAAAGTGCTGTCGTGTCATTTCCAACCCATAGGAACTCTGTATAAGATTTCCAAGGAGTGACTGATGAGCTTGAACCACCGACCTTGCAGTTCAAACCAACCTTGCAGTCTAGTACATTAACCCGCAGTGCCACAACAGATAGACAGGTATTAACTTGGGTGAAAGGAAAGGCAGCATACAATAAAGATGTGGTCAGCATAACATGACAAAGACAAAGGCAGACATTGGAAGATACAAAGAGTAAGAGCTAACAATGGTAAACACTATTACATACACAATCCTGCAATAACATTAAGAACAACAATAGTTTATGAGCAGGTACACAGCTACTTATGCAAGCTGAACAGGTTTGGGACAATGCATAGGAGTACATTCAGGAGTCAGTCTCTCTTAGGTGATCAGCCAGTCAGTTTTAAGGGGATTAGGATGCAATGCAACACTTTTACTCTAGTCACAGCCTTAATCTGATGTAAGGGGAGTTTCCCTGGGCTGTGGCCTGTAACACCTGCCATTTTACAAGAAACAAAGGGGATAGAAGCAAGCACAAAACGGAAGGAACTGATTACCACTAGGAAGAAGAGCCAGGGACACTGCATGTCATTTGGATGCAGGGTTTTTGTGCCAAGAACCTTCTAGATTTAGGGTAAGACTGACAGTAAGATAAATAGATATCGCCAAGGAATACCAGGTCTAAAGATGTTGAAAGGAGAAACGATCTTCCACAGAGCTGAAAAAGAGAAAATAGTTCCCTAGAGTTGACACCCCAAACTCAAGCTTCTGGCTGGCCTCTTGAAGAGTGAGGAAATGCATTTATGCTTGTTAAAGTCATCCACCTGCATTATTTCTGTTGTAGCAGCACTAGAGAACTAACATATATGATAACACTAATCAAAACAGAGCTGGAGTTGTTCTATCAATTTTAGACAAAGCAGATTTCAGAACAAGAAAAAATAACAGGGGCAAATGGGAGCTCTAATTGCATAATTACAAAGGGGTCATTTGTCCAAGAAAACATAACAGTCCAGAATTTGTGATACTTGACAACACAGCACCAAAACACATGATACAACAGCATGGAGAAATAAGACAAATCTACTATCATCGTTAGCAACTTCAATGCTCACCTATCAGTAATTGCCACATCCATCAAGCAGAAAATCAGTAAGGATACGGTTGAACTGAACAGCACCATCAGTCAACTGTATCTGATTGGTGTTTACAAAATGCTTTATCCAACAACAGCAGATGTACATTCTTCTCAAGCTTACACAAGAACATTCACCCAAACAGATCACATCCGGGACCATAAAACACACCCTAACAAATTGGAAAGAACAGAAGTAACACCAAGTACACTGTCAGACCAAAATGGAATTAAGTTAGGAACAGAAAGATAGCTATACTATCTCAAATTGTAGATTAAACCATACAATTCTAAATAATATGTGGGTAAAACAATTCAGATTCTGACCTCTTAAAGAGTGAGAAAATACATTTATGCTTGCTAAAGTCATCCATTTGTTTCTGTTTCTCAAGAGAAACAAAAAATATTTTTATTAAACTAATATGAAAATACAACTTGTCAAAATTTGGATAGGTAGCAAACATATTACTTAGAGGAAAAGTTATACCATCAAGTGCATATATTATAAAGGAAGAGAGATCTAAAAATCAATAATCTAAATTTATATTTTAGGAAATTCAAAAAAGAAGAACTAATAAAATCCAAACTAAGCAGAAGAAAAGACGTAATAGAAACTGGAGTAGAAACCAACGAAATTGAAGACAGGAAGTAGAGAAGGTTAATAAAACAATTAATTAAGACCACAGGAGAGTCTATGGATTTTAATTATGGTGTTGGCAAAGAATACTGAAAGCACCATGGACTGTCAGAAGAACAAACAAATCTGTCTTGGAAGAAGTAAAACCAGAATGCTCCTTAGTTAAAGTAAGAATGGTGATACTTTGTCTCACACACTCTGGACACATTATCAGGAGGGTCCAATCTTCAGAGGACGGCATCAAGCTGGGAAATCTGAGAGGTCAGTGAAAAAGAGGAAGACTCATAAAGAGACAGATTGGTACAGTGGCAGCAACAATGGGCTCAAGCTTAACAATGATTGTGAGGATGGAACAGGGCTGAGCAGTGTTTCATCCTGTTGTACAAAGAGTAGCTAGTTATGAGTCGGAACCAATTCAACAATATCTAACAACAACAAAACACATACTGGTTTTTTTTTTTTTTAAAAAGATCAGTAAAATTGATAAACATCCAGAGAGGATAACTAAGAAAAAGAGTTATTGTTGTTGTTGTTACGTGTCATTGAGTCGGAACCGACTCATAGCGACCCTTATGCACAGCAGAACGAAATAATGTCCGATCCTGGGCCAACCTCACCACTGCTGCCACACTTGAGTCCATCAATGCTGCCACCTGGCCAATCCATCTCATTGGGGGCTCTTCCTCTTTTTCTCTGACCCTCCAAAGAGAAGACTCAAATTACTAATACTAGAAATAAAAGATGAACCATTACAATGGATCCCAAGGATATGAAAAGATATATTACAAACAAATCTAAGCTCACAAATTTGAACACATGGATGAAATGGACCAATTTGTTGAAAGACACAATCTACTCAAATTGACAAGTGAAGAAATAGAACATCTGAATAAGCCTATATCTCCTAAAGAAATAGATACGTTTGAAGACTAAAGTACGCTTAACCCAAGTCATGGTATTTTCAATAGTCTTATATGCATGTGAAAGTTGGACAATGAATAAGGAAAACAGTAGAAGAACTGATGCATTTGAGTTAGTTATAGTGTTAGAGAAGAATATTTAAAATACTATACCTTGCCAGAAGAGCAAATGAATCTGTGTTAGAAGCAGTGCAGCCTGAAAGTTCCTTAGAAGTCAGGACGGCAAGACTTCATCTCTTGTGCTTTGGACAATTTTTCAGGAGGGACCAATCCCCGGAGGGCATCATGCTTGGTAAAGTGGAGGGTCAATGAAAAAGAGATTGACCCCAAGGAGATGCTTTGGCGGAGTGGCAGTAGCAGTGGGCTCATGCATAATGATTTTGAGATGGCACAGGTCACTATAAGTCAGAAACGACTCGACGGCACCTAACAACAACAACAAATATATATATACAAAGAGAGTGAGAGAGAGAGTCCTGTTGTGGCCCTGTAGGATAAGCGATTGACTGCAAGTTCAGTTTGAACCGCAAGGTTGGCAGTTCAAACTCACCAGCCGCTCCTTGGAAACCTTAAACAGGGTCATTATGAGTCAGAACAGACTTGACATCACTTAGAAACAACAGCAACATATATATGTGTGTGTGTGTGTGTGTGTGTGTGTGTGCTGGTCATATCATAAACAAAACAACCTATACCATAATCATTACACAATTAGCCTTATTAATACTAATCATACTCCATGATTACAGATTTGCTTCAATAATTATCTATATAAACAACAAAAAAGGAGGTTATAGCCCCTCATTGATACTCCAAAAGCACCTAACAATGAAAGCACATGGATGTGTCTTAATACATTATCCACCTTTCAAATGAGGCAAACCTATATGCAAATAAAGTAGTTCTGATATAAGCACCAAGTATGCTATTCAGACTAAATACTCAGATCCATCCAAAATTTTACTTTTCTATGCAATTGTTTTAAATTGGCAGTAGTGTGCAGTCTCTTACTTAACTATTATAAAATGGGCGAATATAATCTATTCAAGGAATAAAAGATTAAACAGTTTAAAAATTAAATCTTCACAACCTTTAAAAATTAATGAGAAAAAACTACAAACTACCGAACAAAATTTTATTTTAAGTTACTAGATTTTAGTGCATATGAAAAATTTTTGTAACACATGACATTAAGATGTTAGCATACTGAACTACAATAAGAAAAATTCTTATACATCTTTTGAAATCAGTAACATGCTTATTTCTCCTGTGAAGTTTGCTTAAGTTATGGAGTATCAAATAGGTTTAAATTTTTTGTTATTCTTTATTAACTTCCTAATAAGGCTTTGAGTTTCTTCTCGACCTACACATAATATTTTTTTCAATGTATTGAATACTGTACTAGCTTTTTCTCTCATCTCTGGTGGAACATATTCAATATCAAAATATTGAGCTAATTTAGATCTAGCCTTATACAGCACGTTAATAACAGTTTCAATGTTATCGATTTCATTACCAGTTTGTCCTAGTGGTAAGAGCTGGGATTCGTACATTTTAGTTAGTTTATGTTCTGCTGCGGCCGCAAGAGCAATGCTTCGTCTTAGGTGATCTTTAGAGGCACGGATGTCCTCTCTAGATTCTTCATCGAAGTTTTTCCCAAGAGGTACCTGTTGCACCTGTGAGTGGATATCTGAAATTTTTTTCAAAATGTCATCATTATTCAAAATCTGAGGGTGCTTTTCAAAACTTGGTGCTTCCGGCTTGTCTGCTTCAAATCCACCTGAGAGCTGAGGGACATCTTCTGATTCTGTGGATATACCCAAGTCACTGGTTGTTTGTGAAGTGGTGGTAGGTGACCTATGTGAGGTGGTAGGTGATGTATGTGGACTTCCAGTAAAGTCATTAACATGTGAAAATGACTTTGATGTCCCAGTTGGTTTTATATCCACTTCTGGTTCTTCTTCTTTTTCAATATACGGTTCTTTTGCATGCAAAACAACAGAAACATTGTTGGGTTTGATCCACCAGAATGCTGTACTTTTAGTGCGTTTTCGCCGCCTTATTTCTAGTGTGAAGCCTCTAGTAGGGAAAGGTGTAGTTTCTTCACTGATAGGACTGATTAAAACATCATTCGGATTTAAAACTTCTCTGTGTGTAACAGCCTCCTTAAGTTTTGACACCTTCGATTCTGTAGAATAAAGATGACTCGAAGCCTTTGGTTTTATCTCATGGCCTGGTTCCTCCTTAGTGGGAACACTTAGTAGCATGTTCTGTAAAACTTGCACATAATGATTCAAGTTTTTTTCTTCATCAGGCGTCACAGTTATGCCTTAAAGAAAAAAAAAATCATATAAATAGTAAATAGCATTTATTATTATATGTGACACATTGGCAGAATCTACTAACCTGAATTTACTTCATATGCTATCAGTTATAAGTTGAGCTAAAAAACTTTTTTAAAAAGCACCTTTGACACAGAGTCAATTCTTCCCTGAACAAAATTATTTTTTCAGATTCATTTTAAAACAGATGAACAAGAGTGTTATTAACACAAATCTCTATATCTTTTTGCTTATATTCTCACATAAATTATGATCCTGCAGGCAACTTACTAAATTAAAATTCTTGATGATCTCCTCCAATCCAGTGCTGCTCACTCACTAGAGATCATTGTTAAATTGTACTGGCTCATTAGAGGTAATTGTTTAATTTTCAGGAATTTTTTTGAGGCAGATGTTAAGCACCCAAAACCAAACCCACTGCCA